CCCGCAAAATCAATTATTTAATATTATTTAATTCCCAACGTTTGTTTTCCATAAAGAATTGAAATTGTTTAATGAAAATTGTTTTCGTTGGGTTTAAATAGATTTTCAAAATTGCATTTAAAAAAATCTATTATATATTATTATAATTTATGATTGTTTCAATAATAATAATAATAATAATAATAACAATAACAACAACAACAACAACAACAATAATAATAGTGACATAATAATAAAAGTATGAAAGTTTAAGATTTCATGTATAATTATTATTTATTTCGCTTTATTTCTTTAATTGAATTTTTGTTATTTGGATGTTTCGCGAATATCTAGGCTTAATTATCGTTTTCAATTTGATAATTTGAATATCCTACATGCAGGGGAAGTGTGCACCGATGCGTTACCCACATTATCCACAGTTACGTAAATTCTAGTCTCTCGTTATTTCCTTTTTTGCCTAGTTTTATCCTTCATCACTGAAGCAAAGGTCGTCATTGTTCATAACTGCAAACTGAATAAAACATGCCGATGGAAGGAAATTATCAGAATTATTTAAAGTACCTCTTCCCTCTGTCTTCCTCCCCTCCCCCTCCCCCTCCCCCTCCACCTCCCCCTCCCTCTGTACCTTTAGATTTTTTCAATTAAACTGCATTATTTCAATTAAAATATAAAAAATCCCTGATACTCATACATTTATAAATAAAACATTAGAAAAATTGTTTACATCTCGATAAACAATTGAGACTCTAATGTTTAATTGCGATGGGAATGTTAATTTGATATCAATTTTTATTGTATAAGAATTGCATAATTCTATAATAAAATTAAATTATCATTTCAAAATTAAATTACATTTAAACATTCATGCGCAATTAATATTATCTAAATGGAATTCTCTATAAATCATAAATAAATTTCTCAATTTTTTCATATTCCGTGATAAATAATTCTGATTTTAATCTTTTATTGGGACTGTGGAACGTTCATGATTTTTTTGTTATAAAACAAATTTGGTAAATCGTTTCGTTTGTTTATGGAAATAAACAAATAATGTAATTAATGAATATATAAACATTTTCGGTTGAAACATGTGGATAGAGGCATTAAATTGAGTTGGCAGATGTAATTATTTCGGTGGTTTTTTTGACGTGGGGTGACAAAGTATCGGTGTAAATTATTGAATGTCGGGAGTGAAGTGCCACATGGCATTGGCTTCCTCCCTTCTGTATTCCGTGTATTTATACTCTAGAATGAACTTCCGGTTGTTTGGTTAGTATCAGCGCAAACGCTAATGTTAAATATCCGGGATGTACTTTATTTTCAGAAAACCTCAACACTTTTTTTCATCACCAAAATTGCCGATTTGCTACTACTATTCTCAAAGATTTTCGCTTTACCCATTCATTCAATGGAGATTATTATTCATTTTAAAATTATTCTTCCTATTTTTATGGTAATACATAAAATAAACAAATTTTCTCATTCTTGCAAATGCAATTTTTCAAATTTATCAGCGATTTTAGAAATTTGATTTGACGCAGAAAATTAATTATTTATGAATTATCTGCAAATATTTGAATAAAATTTTAATGAGTTTGATTTACATTTGAATTTTTTTTATAATTTCAATTTTTGTCGAATATTGCAATGTTTTATACTTGAATATTCTTTCAATTGTTCAATGAAATTTATTAAAGAAATAAATAAATCATCTTTATTAATTGATAAAAAAACTTTCAATTTTTGTTTTCGCGTGATTATTATTTTCCAAATTCTGCATCGACGTTTTTTTTAAATAATAATTCCATTTGTCAAGTTAATTCCGACGAATTTTGTTGGTTATTATTAATTCTCATTATTTTACAATTGATTTAATTTGATTCAACAATTAAAAAATTCGTTACACATAAAATATTGTTTACTCTATTTGTTCCTCTACTTAAAAATATTCCTAACAATAACAATTAATTATTTAATAGTCCAATACTGTTCCACGTTTTAATATTTTCCACATCTTGAATAAAATCTATTCTTCAGCGTTATCTTCACCGATTGACTAGAAAATTATCACTTGTCCGGATGTCAGTGCTGAGAATAAATAAAGGGCTTACGGATCCTCAAAATATAAAATAAATCTTAATCCAGAATTTCCCGCACGTGTGTCCAAAGGGAATATTGTAACCACGACAATCCATTCAGCGAGACACCTCGCCTCATTTCCATTTAAACTTTACGATCATTGCAAAAAACCTTCAGTAACTCAAGGTTTATTATCACCATAATGAATAAATGCTGATGGAAATGAAAAAGTCGTTTCAACCTGTTGTCAAGAATGCGAGTTATTCAATTGAGCAATTTGTCAAAATATTTTTTTCCCCGTTTATTCGCTGAGTCATATTGCATTCCCACCTGAGCGTGCAATTGTCGTTATTTCAATGGAATTTTCTTCGAGTTTTCACCCGAGACGGTGGATTATAATTATCAGGTTGAGAGCAAGGGCGTTCAAAAGTTGTTGAGTTAACGAAGCGGCTCGATAATTAAGAGAAGACGGACCGAGAGAACGTCAAAAAATAATGAACTGCATGCAGGTGTTCGAAAATATTATTATCAAATCGTAAGGGATCCCCAGGAAAAATGGCAAACTCTTCGAAAAAACCTTTTCAACTCATTTCCAGTCATTTTTTTTTTCTCGCCAAAAAATATTGGCGACAGTCTAAAAGTGTCCCAATGTTTTTTGCTAATTAAATTTTTCAATTTAAAAATAAAAAAAATAAAAAAAAATAAAAAAAAATAAAAAAAAAATAATTAAATTTTTTCATTTAAAAATTGAAAAAAATTTAGTAATTGATTTTTTTTCATTTAAAAATAAAAAAAAAATTAATGAAAATTTTTAATTTAAAAATAAAAAAAAAATTAATGAAAATTTTTAATTTAAAAATAAAAAAAAAATTTAATTTTTTTAATTATATTATTGTGTTTTTACTTTTTCAATTTTTCAACATTCCCAAAAATCCGCCGTCAAATTTGAATCGCTCATTTTTTGCTTCTGATCGTGGAATTCCTTACGTGGGGATTTAATATTTTTTATCAGTAAATATTTTGTAATAAAATTCTAGAACAACAGAAATGTTGAATAATGGATTTTTACTCTCGATTTTTGCCCCTCGTCTCCCATCGCAACTCGTGATTCATTCCGTTTAACCCGCATTTCATTTTACCCTATCCCATTTTGCGCGGATGTCCAATTTTCCAAAAATAATTAACAAACGGAAAAATTTGAGAATAAAATTATGAAATTATGTCCATAAATAAATGATCGAGTCTTCGACATTTTCTTCGGCTTTCGGGATAATTCCTCTCATCTAATCGTCTTGATGCAATATATTATATATTTGGTATATTCATTTTCAAATTCATCACAGGAGTTTCAAAAAAATACAAGAGTTATGTGACTCCCACTATTTTTTATTAGTTTATGACACTTAGAACTTGAAAATATCATTTTCACGATTTACAAAATTTCGACCTTGCTCCAATTTTTCTGATTCCAAAACAAATGATTAGGAATATCCATATACCATTTCACAGAAAATTTTTAGTTCTTCGAAATGGTATTAGTTGTCTGATTTTGTTACGGTTTTATAGAATTATTGAAGGTTTTTCCATTTTCCACGGTTATGTCACGGTCTAAAATGCACGTTTATTCCTAATTACCGTAGCATTCAATATAATTCATGAGAATTCCATGAACTATTTGAAAAGTATCAATGAGTTCTTTACACTACAATTCGAATTTCTCAATTCCACCCATTTAATCAAAAGTTATCGATGAAAATATGACGAATTTCACGTGCCACATTATGAAAAATAGTTATTCCGTTAAAAAAAATCCATAACAACATTTACCCTCGTAATTACTCATGCATTTAATTTTCTTGTACAAAC